AAAAAAAAAAAAAAGAAAAATTTTTTTCTATTCCATGGGTTGACTTTTCACTCTGTTGGTAGTGTTATTTGATACACAAAATATTGTACATCATACAGTATGAACTAACAAAAAACAATGAGATATGTGTGTAAATATTCATGACGTATATTAAAATGACAAGCAAGTTGAAGATCAGGCCTCCATTTTTACTAAGAAAAAAATGCACCTTTTTTTTTTTTAAAGACAGGATCTCGCTCTGTTGCCCAGGATGAAGTGCAGTGGTGCAATCACGGCTCATTGCAGCCTCGACTTCCCAGGTTCAAGTGATCCTCCCACATCAACCTCTTAAGTAGCTGGGACTACAGGCATGGGCCACCATGCTGGCTAACTTGTATTTTTTGTACAGATGGGGTTTCACAGTGTTGCAAAGGCTAGTCTCGAACTCCTGGGCTCAAGTGATCTGCTCACCTTGGCCTCCCAAAGCTCTTGGATTACAGGCATGAGCCACCATGTCCAGCCTGCACCTCTTTTTGATTACAGAGTTAGGTATATATAAACTGAGATTAAAAAATAAGAGATAAAATATACTCAAGGCTGGGCTCAGTGGCTCATGCCGGTAATCCCAGTGCTTTGGGAAGCTGAGGTGGGAGGATTGCTTGAGCTCAGGAGTTCAAGACCAGCCTGGGGAACATAGTGAGACCCTGTCTCTACAAAAAAATAAATAAATAAAAATAAAAATAAAATCACCTAGGTGTGGTGGTACCCACCTGTAGTCCCAAGCTACTTGGGAAGCTGAGGCAGGAGGATCACTTTATTATAAAGTAGAATTTAAGTTAGATTATTTTGCCCACTGTAGGCTAATGTAAGTACTCTATACACGTTTAAGGTAGTCTAGGCTAAGCTATAATGTGTAATAGATTAAGTGTATTAAATGTATTTTTGACGTAGGATATTTTCAATTTACAATGGGTTTATCAAGACATAACCCCACCATAAGTCAAGGAGCATCTGTACTTATTCTGAACTTTTTCTCTTCCACGTAACAATATATTGCTATGGCAATAAATATACATGTAGATCATTCTTTTTAACAGTTACATAGTACTCTGTACTATAAATGTATAGCTACAACATTCAAACCTTCACTATCATAAATTATGCTTTAGTGAATATCATTGTGTATCTTCATGCACAGTACTTCATACCAGTACTTTCATATTATTTCTGAATATGACTCCTTGGGCCTAAGGGTAGACACATTTAAAACTTTGATTGCCCATTACCTGCCAAGGAGGTTATACCAATTTAGAGCCTCATCCACTGCATCAATTTAGCCACACCTCCAACAGCATTGTGTTTTGGGAATCCTTCAAATTTCTGGTCATTTTCTTGGTGAAAGACAATTATCGCTGTTAGTTTAGCACACATTAACGCTGAGCATATTTTTGTTACTGCTAATTTTTCTATTTCAGCCTATAAATTTGAGTGAGCATATGTTACTTTCCTAAGAAAAAACATTTTTTTCCATTAAAAAAAAAAGTTCAGGGCCAAGTGCAGTGGCTCATGCCTATAATCCCAGTACTTTGGGAGGCCAGGGCATGAGGATTGCTTGAGCTCGGGAGTTCAAAACTAGCTTGGGTAACATAGTGAGATCCTGCCTCTATTTAAAAAAAAAAAAAAAAAAAGTTCATTCTTTTAGTAATAGGTTTATATAGGATATAAGAGTACCATGGAGTCACGCCTGTAATCCCAGCACTTTGGGAGGCCGAGGCAAGCAGATCACGACATCAGTTTGAGACCAGCCTGGCTAATATGGTGAAACTCCGTCTCTACTAAATATACAAAAATTAGCTGGGCACGGTGGCACGCACCTGTAGTCCCAGCTACTCGGGAGGCTGAGGCAGAAGAATCGCTTGAACACGAAAGGTGGAGGTTGCAATGAGCCGAGATCGTGCCACTGCACTCCAGACTGGTTGACAGAGTGAGATTCCGTCTCCAAAAAAAAAAAAAGATTACCATGGAGGCCAGGCACAGTGGCTCATGCCTGAAACCCCAGCACTTTAGGAGGCTGAGGTCGGTAGATCACTTGAGATCAAGTTCAAGACCAGTCTGACCAACACGGCAAAATTCCGTCTCTACTGAAAATACAAAAATTAGTCAGGTGTGGTGGTGCACATCTATAATCCCAGCTACTTGGGAGGCTGAAGCAAGAGAATCACCTGGGAGGCAAAGGTTGCAGTGAGCTGAGATCACGCCACTGCACTCCAGCCTGGGCAACAGAATGAGACTCTCTCTCAAAAAAAAAAAAAAAAAAAGAGTGCCAGGGAAATTCAGAGAAAGAAAAGATAATCCTGGTTTAAATCAAGGCCTGGCATAGTCCCTTGCAGAGAAGATGTTTAATATGAAGAGGAAACTGAAGGAAATAAGGAAGGCAGGCAACCAGCCCATGGGGAAGTTTCAAAAAGGTACATCAAGCTGGGCCTTAAAAATAGTAAAGGAGGCCGGGAGCAGTGGCTCACGCCTATAATCCCAACACTCTGGGAGGCTGAGGAGGGTGGATCACCTGAGGTCAGGAGTTCAAGACCAGCCTGAACAACATGGTGAAACCCCGTCTTTACTAAAAATATAAAAAATTAGCTGAGCGTGGTGGCGGGCGCCTGTAATCCCAGCTACTCAAGAGGCTGAGGTAGGAGAATTGTTTGAACCCAGGAGGCAGAGGTTGCAGTGAGCCAATCGTGCCACTGCACTCCAGCCTGGGCAACAAGAGCAACACTCTGTCTCAGGAAAAAAAAAAAAAAAAAGTAAAGAAGAAGAAAAAGGCATTCTACATAGATAAAAGTACATAAGCAAGTCTAAAGGGAGACATGAAGATACAGTTATGTATTACTTAACAACAGGGATACGTTCTGAGAAATGTGTCATTAGAAGATTTCAACATTGTGTGAATATCATTGAGTATACTTACACAAATCTAGATGGTATAGCCACTACACACCTAGGTATGTAGGTGTATATAGCCTACATACCTATATGTAGCCCATTACTCCCAGTAATAGCCTAGTACTCCCAACCATCCTAACAAGATGTTACTATACTGAATACGGTAGGCAACTATAACTCAGTGGTAACTATTTATGTACCTAAACATAGAAAAAGTAATGTGTTGTGCTAAGACCTTATGACAACTACATGTCACTGGGCAATAGGAATTTTTCACCTCCATTATAATCTTATGGGACCACCATCATATATGCAGTCCTTTGATGACCAAGGCGTCATTAGGTGACACATAACAGCAACTGTGAAGAGCCGTAAAGAAAAAGACCTAAAAAGGTAAGATGTGAAGTGCTAACTGACAGAAAGCTTTGAATGCCACGATGAAACACCTGGATCAGATTGAACAAAGACAAACATACAACTTTAAGTCTGAGTAACAAGATGAAAATATAAATTAAAATTAATCTGACAGATTTAAAGTTTGAAGTAATAGAAGTAGGAAGACAAGATTAATCAAAAACAAAGTGATAAAGGCCTAAATGAGGATGGCATGACGAAAAGGTAGTTACTTTTAAAATTTTAAACTATGCAACTTCTCAGTAAGGATAGTGAATTAAATGTATCTATCTATTTCTACTCTCTTCTCTCCTCACTCATGCACAGGAAAAATTTTTTTAAAAGAGAAAAAATTTTTACACAAGACAAAACCACAAGGATGGAAAGGAAGAGCAATAATTTTTTTTGAAACTAGAGATAAAATGGACTATTGCCTTGGGAGATGGACAAAAACTAAATCCTAAAGTGACAAGGGAAAAAGTAGAAAACCAACTTAATTTACACTATGGAATTCCCCCAAAGTCTCAGAAGCTGGTGAGTCCAGGTAACTCTGGGTATGCAGGGTAGGGTGAATGAAGTGAAAATAAGGAGAATTCGTTCAGCATCTGTTTACTACACAGATGGATTCCTAGATCCTTTTCTCTATTCCTTCTAACCAAGGCAACTACCCCTCACCATTCTGTCAAAAGACAGATGTACTCTGTGGAGAGTATAAATCAAAGGTCTTACAGTCTAGTGAACACCAGGTAAAGGTGAAGTGAGGGAGCCATATTGAAAACAGGAAAACTAACACCAACGTATGTATACTACATGCTTCATTTTTCTTCTGTTATACTGCCTATTTCCTATATTTCGTATCTCCACTTTCTTGGTTTACTCTCTCCTACTGGTGGAGCCTATCTTCTAGTGGATTCCTGAAAAGGTGTAAGAAATGCCTTGGAGGTATGAAAATATTTATTCTATTTCACTAATTGATAGTTTGTCCAGGTATGGAATTCTAAGTTAGAACTTATTTTCCCTCAGAATTTTGAAGGCATTGCTCCAAAGTCTTTTTTTTTTTCTTTTTTGAGACAGTGTCTTTGCTCTTTCACCCAGGCTGGTGTGCAGTGACGTGATCTCGGCTCACTGCAACCTCCGCTTCCCAGGTTCAAGCAATTCTCCTGCCTCAGCCTCCCAAGCAGTTGGTACTACAGGCACGCACCACCATGCCCAGCTAATGTTTGTATTTTTGTAGGGATGGGGTTTCACCATGTTGGCCAGGCTGGTCTCAAACTCCTGACCTCAGGTGATCCACTCGCCTCAGCCTCCCAAAATGTTGGGAATATAGGCGTAAGCCACCACACCCAGCCTGTTCCAAGGTCTTCTACTTTTCAGCATGACTACTGAGAAAAAAGACCAATCTAATTCCTGAATCTTCTGAATGTGAATAATTTTATTCTCTCTGAAGCTTATAGGATATTCTCTTTCTATCTGATGCTGAAATTTCAGCATAATGGGCCTCGATGTGTGCATGGCCCCTTCGATCTGGAAACTAATGTCTTTCACAGGGACATTTTATTTAAACAGAAATAAAGAATTATGTTAAAAGAAATAAAAATGATGCCACTGGAGAGAAGGAAATGAGAGAAAGGGAGCAGAGGACTCCCTTATAATATTTTTGTAACAAACATTATAAAACTAAGTCTTTAAATATTAAAATATGCATGTATAGTTTTGATTTAAATAATTTTTTTTTTTTTTTTTTTGAAACGGAGTCTCGCTCTGTCGCCCAGGCTGGAATGCAGTGGCCTGATCTCAGCTCACTGCAAG